GGGAGCTGCTCCTGGGGACAGCCCGGGCTGGGTAATGAACCTTCAGTGTCCGAGACGCTCGGCGTGCGGATAAACCCCGGAGCGTGCGTTGTTAGGCCTTCACCTTTCCCGCTCCCTAGCGGTGTGCACAGGCCCAGCTCCCTTCCAAACAACGCTGAACCTGCCCGCAAGGTGGGAGTTAAGTCGAGCTAAACTGATCCCTCAGTGGAGGTTTGTAGAACGGTGATGCCGCTGCACCCTTCGGTGAATGTCAGCTCATGTGTATGTGGCTCTGAAAACCACAGATATATTTTTCTAATCCCTGTTTTCTGCTGTTGTCCCTTGCTGAGCTGTGTAGCTGCCCTGCTGCCCTTGTTGAGAAGGAAAAGGTGTGTTAGGGACAGGCACCAGAGTGTTAAAACGTTAAACCCGGGGGTGCTGAACCTGCCCCACTCCTGAGTTCCCTGCTTCACGTGGTGCTGCAGGGCTGGGGTTCCTGGCAGTGCACCCCGTCTTCCTTCTCCCTTTTTGGGGGGAAGCTTTGCAGGGTGGAGTGGAAGCTGCTGGGAGTTGCCTGGTGGGTGTTGTGTAGCCCCAGCCCCATTTTGGGGCCCCACAGGGCTCAGGATTCCAAGAGAGCCCTGCAGTGTTCAGAGCAGCCGTCCCTCCCACAGCCCGAGGGGGGACACCCCAGCTGTGTCCCTGTTGAGTGGTGCTGGGCAGGGGTGCTGTGCCCTGCGGGGCGGGGGCAGAGCAGCAGCTGCTGTTTGTAATGGGTTTCTTCTCCCTCTCTCCCTTCCAGCCCTCTTGCTGTCGCCTGCAGCCCGGCACCAGAGCTCCCAGAGCACGTCACTGCAGCACAGGTAACGCCAGGGGACTCCCCTGCCTGGCTCTGTGCCCCTTGGGGTGCTGGTCTCTGGGGGGGGGCAGCTGGTCTGGCCTTTGGGGGGGAGGCTGGTCTGACCCCTCGGTCACTGTCCTGTCCCAGTGAGTCTGGGACTTGCTGCCCAGCAGGAGGAGGATGCTGTCGAGCTGTGAACTGAGGCAGCTGAGCCTGAGACAGATAACTGGATGCTCTGCTGAGGAGGGGGCTGCAGGGAGGGCCCAGCCCAGAGCAGCCCCCCGGGTCAGGGCATTGCAGCAGCTCAGCTGCAGTAGGGGCTTCAGCTGGCTCCCTTTTGGGAACGGGCTGTGTGCTCCTCGTTCAGCTCCTGCCTGGAGGCTCCAGTGTCGGGTAAATCACCAGCCCCGGCCCTGCAGGACGTGGAGCCAGGGAGAGTCAGGGTTCGTTTGCTGCAGCACTTCAGAGCTGCCTGTCTGTGAGGCTGGGCTGTGGCTCCCCCCCCGCGG